TTTGGTTAAGAGTGTTTGGGGAAATACCGCCCTCTGGAGGAAGAAAGATGTATAGTTTGGATGGGCCGTGACAAACCACTTCCAGAACTTTGGCCTGCTTCCTTCCCCAGGGGCCTGGCCAGCTTGGGGGTGGAGTGTACTGATTGTTTATCCACTTTGAGTCTGGCCACCGTGGAGAACAAAGCGCCTGGCTGTGGGAGGTGGCACAGCAGCTGGGAACAGCAGATCACAGCTGGAGGTGGCAGATATAAAGGCTGGCAACAGCTGGAGGCGGCAAACACAACAGCCGGAGGCAAGAGAGGCTAGCCAGAAGCCAAAATCTCCAGTGTCCACAAGTCCACGGCCTTTACCCTGGGCTCAGAAGCTCCAGGTTGTCCCTCCTGAAAGCAGGAGACCCATGCCAATAAAACCCGTGTTCACAGAAGCAGTTGCTACAATTAAAAAGTTCTAGACCAGGAGCTTGAAGGCCTCTATCACTAATCTAGTTGGGGGCAAATCTCTCTGAGCCCTAGTTTGTAATGATACTATTCACCAAGTACCTCATGGTATGAGGATGGAATTGCAGTTGGTTGGGCCAGCCAGATAGCTCAGTGGACTAAGGGCCTGCTTAGGAGCTGGTTTGATCCCCAGCACCACCAGCTGTATGCCAGCCCTGCCCCCAGGTGCACAGGCCACCAAGACCAGGTATAGGAGTGCACACCTGTAATCCCAGCACTGGGGAGGCTGAAAACAGGAGGATCACTATGAGTCTGAGCTGCACAGTGGGACCCTGTACTAAATACATAAAAACAACAACAACAAAATACAGTTGGTTGTTGTTTGTTTGCTTGCTTTTGGTACTGGGAATCAAACTCAGGACCTCTCACTTGCTTGGCAGGTACCCTGCCCCAGAGCTATACCTCCAGACCAAATAGCTTTTTTTTTCCCTTTCAAATTATGCATTTTACAAACTTTAAAGTGATAAGTAATCATAGGGTCTTATTTTGAGAACAGTAAGGAGAGCTGTCCACGGGACCCCAGAGTTTCCATTCTCCCTAGTGTGCAGAATCTCCCCTCAACACAAAGAATACCTACACATCAGCGCAGACAGTGCAGGGCAGAAGTGGGAACAGGCTCCAGGCATCCCCATCCTCCAGAGTGCAGCTGGAAGCTCATAAGCCATCTTTCCACCCCCTCCAAAGTTTAGTCTCCTCTATCTCTGTAAAATACTCGTCCAATCTACCGTAGAATACCTTCAGAATCTGGGCACTCTCCACATTTAAAGAAGCTTCTTCTTCTTCTTTCTTTCTTTAAATGTATTTAGGACAGGTTCTCCAGCATCTACAGCGTCTCACTACATAGATCAGAGTAGTAGTGATTCTCCTGTTTACAGCCTCCCAAACGCTGGTGTTACAGGCACATGCCACCATGCCCAGTCTCAATCGCAGCCTCAGTGTGCCCCTGGGGGTGGGCCTGCACCCTGTGTCTGCCTAAGCAGGTGCTTTAATCCACTGAACTCTCTGGCCAGCCTAGAGGAGCTTCTTAAAATGTTTGGCTTGTCCTGATTGTTACAAAGCCCTTTGTCATAGCAGTCTAGAATCTCCCTTCTCATAGCTTGAACTTACTAGCTCTGAATGTTCCTCCTGGAGCTCAAAGAACTAGTCCAAGCCTTTATCCGCATGACAGCCCTTCTCAAGCCAAGTATTTGCAGACATCTGCTGCACCCTTCAGTTTTCCTCTTCTCTTGCCTAAACTCCCCATTTCCTTTAAGCATTTCTCATGTGATCTGGTTCTGAGGCCTCTCACATCCTGACTGCTTCTGGAAACTGGAGACGGTAGTGTGGGAGTGACTGAGCAGAGCAGAGTCAGCTTGGACTGTATTGCTTCTTCTTTTTTTTTTTTTAAATTTATTTTTTTACATTTTTTTCCATAATTTTATTGAGAGACAAATAGCAATGAGACAGTTTCAAATCGAACTGGTAGGACAGTTTCAATAATTAACACATTGCATACTCTCTTCCTAGTGATTATTTGCTGTACAAGATGCAGACATGATATCCCTTGTTTTTTGTTTTGTTTTTTTTTAATTTTATTTATTAGTTTATTTATTTATTTTATTTTTTGTGTGTGTGTGGCCAGCTCAGCCCACCAGAGGGCGGGGCTGGCTGGCATGTGGTGCTGGGGGATTGAACTGCGGTCCCTGTGCTTTGCTTAGCTTAGCTTGTTCTTTAGGTGCTTTAGACCACTGAGCCATCTCACCAGCCCTCCCTTCTTTGTTAATGAGAGCACACGAATAAATTGTATTGGTTTGCTTTCTTTTTTTTTAATATTGGTTTATTTTTTACTAAAACATTTAATTCTTGTTTTCATGGTACTGTTTGCTAAATTACATTTTCCCAATCCTGAATGTGCTTGTAGGACATTTTGAGCCCAGGCGCATAAATCAACATTCATCCTTTTTGTTAGATTTGGCCTACTCACTCGATCCTTTTGAGTCTTAACCTACTTAGCCCTTCATTTCTACTCCCTTCCAGCTTTCTATCATCTGCATAGTTGATATCTATAGTATTCTCTAATTTTGAGTAAAAATTTTGTTAAGAACAGTGAATATGGTAAGAGCAAAGATAAAGCTCTCAGGCCCATCAAGAGAAAACTAATCCCAGATCCTCATGGTCCACTCATCAGTACTACTGATTTATTTTTAAATTTTGATGTGAAAAAATTAGTTCCCATTTTGTTCATTTTTTTCTATCTTGTACCCAAGGACATAATGACAGATTTTATCAAAAATCTTGCTGTAGCTCAGATACACTTTATCAAGTGCATTTCTCCAATTTTTCAACTTAGTAACCTTATCACACAAACAAGTCATTTGGATATGAGTTGTTCTTGGTGAACCCATGTTTAATCTTTTTTTTTCCCCCCCTGGTGTTCTTGTCAGGCAAGCGCTTATTCTACTGAGCTATCTCCCCAGCCCCCCCCCATGCTTAATCTTATTGATAACTTCCTCTCTTATTCCATTCAAGAACTGCATCTAGGATCAATATCTCACCTGCTTGTCTATACTTTATGAAATGTACATTTGTTCCTTTTTGAAAATTAAAACTATGTTTATTCACCTTGAACCCTGCAGCCAATCCTTTGTTCTCTAGTATTCATCAAAATTTCTTATAGAGGTTTTATATCTTCTTTCCAAGATTATGAATATTACATGAAAATGCTGGCTTCTGTGCGAACTCTGTGTGTACTGTATATACACACACTCAGGCATTGTGGCGGCTATTTGTTACTATTACCACTACTCAGTAAATTGCCCTTCAATAGGAATTATTCAACCTTCGGAGGTGTAAAGCTTCAATTTGCACCAAAGGAACCAGGGCATTGGGCAATAAGTAGCACTCAAGTCTAGTTGAACAATAGTCTCCCAGAGGTAAAAATTCCAAATGGCCCACGGGCTGGTAAAATGGGCATTCTGGCTGCCTCTGAAGAGTCTTGAGATTCTCATGCATTGGTGATTTTTCAGTTCACTACCTACCTGGGCAGGAGGATGGATGAACCAAGTAACTTAGAATTTTCCAGGGGCAAGCCAGGGCAAAACAGAGGGAGAAGGTGTGAAGAATAATAAAACAGTGCCACAGATTCTTTTGAAATGGAGAATGTGACAGGGCTCTCTGATCTCCAAAAAGAGCCAAACTCCCCGTGTCACCCTGCTCCTTCTGAGAAGATCTGATCATCAGATTCAGAATCCAAGGGCTCAAGTGATTAAAACTTTCTCTGCTGGAAAAGTACAAGTCACTCTCTGGGCAGGGGTGCCGGGCACCTTGTGTTAAATGAATTGTCTCCTGTTTCAGTGCTCTGTCCCACTTTCTGCTACTGTCAGGGCACATAGCAATCCTGAACTTGAGCCTGTGCAGACGTAACCACCAACTAACACGTACTTCTACTGCTTCTACCTCAGTCTGTCAAAAACACTTCTGCAACCTATAACCTGGCAGTGCTGCCAACTCTTGGGAAATATTCCAGGGCTCCCCGGAAGCTTATGTATGCTGTTTCTCTTCCTCCGTTGCTTATTTCTACTTGTTCAACTCTTGTCTGTGTTCTTTCTAATACCAATCTAGACCCTAACTCAGAACTAACTTCCTCAGATGATGCACACAGATGGTGGTGATGATGGTGGTGGTGGTGATGATATTAATAATAAAGAATTGGGTGAGTACTTACAGAGCATCTTGAATGGTAGGAGAATGAGCAACTTCTGCTATTTCTTCAGTCAGACGAGTAACCTAGTATCATCAACATGTATTAATTTGGGTCTAGGAGAGAAAATTGAGAAATTAAGAAGCATATGTGTGTACAGTAAGAGGACTGACCTGGAAGGATTTCAATGGAATAACCTTTTTTCCTTATAATATTCATGTGGATGGAGAAAGTATCTATTTCAAAGTTATGAATTACTTTTATCTCTGCCTCTCCTCTCCTAAGAATTACATATTTTCTGAACGTGTACCTTCCTCTGTAGAAGGTGAGTTCTTTTTTTTCTTTCCAGAATTTGGTACAGGGTCTCACTACGCAGCTCAGACTGGTAGTGATCCTCCTGTTTCAGCCACCCCAGCATTGAGATTACAGGCACAGGACACCATGCCCATCTGGTCTTGGTGACTGGCTTGGTGTGTAGGAGGTGGAGCTGGCACAGCAAGGATCAAACCTGGATCCTTGTGCTTGCCTAGGCAGGCATTTATACCACTGAACTATCTCCAAAGCCTTAGGAGGTGTATTCTTTTTTTGTGTGTGTGATACCGGGGATGGTGTATTCTTAGAGAGCAAGGATGATGTCATTTTCATCCTTAACTTACCAGCACCTTGCACAATGTCTGGTATACAACAAGTGCTTAATAAATATTTGCTAAGAAAAGAACAAGTGACACCAGAGTGAATGTAAATTCCCCCTGGTCTTTGGGTGGTGCTTGTGAGTTAGCCGGATGTCTGCAGTAACCTCCTTGATGCTGTCTTGCCCCCTCCAGATGACTTCAGTTGCCAAGGTATATTACAGTCAGACCACTCAGACAGAAAGCCGGCCCATAATGGGCCCAGGAATACGACGGCGGAGAGTGCTGACCAAAGATGGTCGCAGCAACGTGAGAATGGAGCACATTGCGGACAAGCGCTTCCTCTACCTCAAGGACCTCTGGACAACCTTCATTGACATGCAGTGGCGCTACAAGCTTCTGCTCTTCTCTGCAACCTTTGCAGGCACCTGGTTCCTCTTTGGTGTTGTATGGTACCTGGTAGCTGTGGCCCATGGGGACCTGTTGGAGCTGGGGCCTCCTGCCAACCACACCCCTTGTGTGGTTCAGGTGCACACACTCACGGGAGCCTTCCTCTTCTCCCTTGAGTCCCAGACCACCATTGGCTATGGCTTCCGCTACATCAGTGAGGAGTGCCCTCTGGCCATCGTGCTTCTTATTGCCCAACTGGTGCTCACCACCATCCTGGAAATCTTTATCACTGGTACCTTCCTGGCAAAGATTGCCCGGCCCAAGAAACGAGCTGAGACCATCCGTTTCAGCCAGCACGCAGTTGTAGCCTCCCACAATGGGAAGCCCTGCCTTATGATCCGAGTTGCCAATATGCGGAAGAGCCTCCTCATTGGCTGCCAGGTGACAGGCAAACTGCTTCAGACTCACCAGACCAAGGAGGGTGAGAACATCCGGCTCAACCAGGTCAATGTGACTTTCCAAGTAGACACAGCCTCCGACAGCCCCTTTCTCATTCTCCCCCTGACTTTTTACCACGTGGTGGATGAGACCAGTCCCTTGAGAGATCTCCCTCTTCGCAGTGGGGAGGGTGATTTTGAGCTGGTGCTAATTCTAAGTGGGACAGTGGAGTCCACCAGTGCCACCTGCCAGGTGCGCACTTCCTACTTGCCTGAGGAAATCCTTTGGGGCTATGAATTCACCCCTGCCATCTCGCTGTCAGCCAGTGGCAAGTACATAGCTGACTTCAGTCTTTTTGACCAAGTTGTGAAAGTGGCCCCCCCTAGTGGCCTTCATGACAGCACTGTGCGCTATGGAGACCCTGAAAAGCTCAAGCTGGAGGAGTCATTAAGGGAGCAGGCTGAGAAGGAGGGCAGTGCCCTTAGTGTGCGCATCAGCAATGTTTGATGGCCTCTTCCCACCTCCCGAGCCCGCCATTCTCTTCCTCTCTTTTGATGCCCTGGGCAAGGGATACTACCTGGGTTCACTGCAGAACCCCAGAAGCACCCGTCCTTCACTCCCTCTTCTTTAATCCAGGGGCCTGTCGGTAGCATAGGCCAACTGGGGGTCCAAGTTTCCTCCTCCTGTCCCCTTTCACCTTCCCCTGCTTCCACCCTAAGGCACACAACTCCCTTAAGCCAGGATGGGGGAAGGAGAGAGAAGATTAGGCTGAAGTGGCTTAGAAGGCCTCAGCCATGCTTGGAGACTCACATTAAGAGGACCATGTGGTTGGATGGAATGACTCCCCCCATGAGAAAGTACGGTGACTTGAAGCTGGAGCTCCCCCTCCCCTGTCTCTATGTTTCCATCTAGCAAGTTCCTTAAGGCAAGACTCCTTTTGATGGTTACTTTGTGGTCTGTACCCTCAGAAATATAAGAATCTAAAATCATCTTATTTGGGGGTCACTACAAATCCCCGTTGAAAGAGACCAGGGGTTTCCATAGTGTATTTAATTTTCAGTAGTTATCCCTGACCATAATCTGGGCCCTTGGTCACCACTACTTTCCCCTTTCCAGTTTTCAAATGGAGCCTCCAGGATATATAGTTCTTTCATAGCTTCTATTCTCAGAGAGTTGGGATGGGCCTGAGAAACACGCATGTACTCACAATATTCACACCTACACTCATTGAAATTCTCAGTTTTTGAGTTGTTGTCCAAAGCTTTGAACCTGTCCTCCAGGCTGCCCTGGAAAGAATTGCTTCCCTGTGTTCTGCGAATGAGGGAGTCTAGGACCCGAGAAAAGGGCTGAAAAGATATTTCAGATCACACTGTGAGTAGCTCTTCTTCCTTTCCCACCTAGTGCAGACCCATCTTTTAGAGAAAGGGAGGGAAAACAAAGTCATTCCCTTTCTTAACATCAATAGGAAATTAAGACTTGATCCACAGAGCAAAGACCCCACCCCAGAAAAGTTAAACCAACTCCACCAAAAGGAATGAGTACATTCTCAGATTTCCAGGCTGGGGTACAGAATTTGTCACCCTTTGTCAAGATTTGGGCTGGCAGCCACTATTTTGTTACACCTCCTAGTCTCCATATGAAAGTAAGTTATGTCATTAAACAATGTTGGGAGGGAGGAAAATTATACCTCCCGATTAAATAACCATGGTTACCCTCAGCCATTCCTGAAACTTTATATACAATGATGAAAATCAGTGTTATCGTCACTCTCCTCCCCCATGGGATAGTTTCAGGCAAGTTTAAAAGATACTCTAAGAGATAAGACATAGGCCATTCCTTGCTCCCAGCAGTGACTAGAGTCAAAGAAGGGAAGATGGGCACCAGAATGTTCTCTAAAGCCCCAAGTTCCATGAGTACTCTCTGGTCTCGCTTAGGTACAAAGGGCTCTCCACAAAATGGTTTGGCATAGAATCCTGTTGTGAATTGTATTTACGGGGTACTCAGTTTTTCTGAGCTACACACCTACACAGAATGTATACTGCATCTATGTGCAGAGCTTGCAGACTGGACCTGCTTCAACTGTGCAGTCCTCTTAAACACTGATCTTTCCTTGAACACGGCCAAGTGTATTTTGAAAAGGAAGAGCCTTCTGTCTCCACTTACTGGAAGCCCCGCCATAACTCTCTGGCTCTCATAAAAAACAAGAACGAGAAAAACTTGAAAATCTGAAAGAACAGAAGGCCAGGAGCCAGTTTCTGCACTCAATTTTGTTTCACATTAGACTTACCTGATTTCTTTCAGTATATAAGCACAGAATGTACTAGTGTGTGTGTGTGTGTGTGTGTGTGTGTGTGTGTGTGTGTGTGTGTAGACCTCTTATCCATTGGCAATTTGTCCTTCATCTGGTTTCTTCTGCATACTGTGGCTTCTCTCCTGCAGTTGTCTGTTCTAAGCCCCCAGAATTTTCAGATTCTTGGATAACAATTTAAGTAGAGAACGATTCTTATTTAACTTTTTTAAACTTCTCCTACAATCCCAAGCTTTGTTCTAAGTTGCACTTTAAATTATATTGTCCTATTAATAAAATATGTGGCAGCATCCCCAGCATAGCCCTTGTTCCCCTAGGAACACCTTCTCCCACCCCTACCCTAGTTCTTCAGACTACAGCCTATCTCCTCCAATTTGGAATCCTCTTTCAGATTATAGGACTAGCTTTGTAAGCTGTCAAGTCTGGTGAGAAGTGGGCTATAGACCGGAAGGTCGGGAGAGAGCTGTCAGTACAGGTGTTAAGCAGGGGAGATTTCAGAAAGTGAGCAAAACAACCGATGGGCAAGGATACCAGATTGTGTGTGTGAGAAGGGGCTGGGACCTGATGAAACCCTTGAGTCTCACTTGGGCTGGCAAACAAGACATGAACGGGGGTTTGTGGATTTAACATATTATATATAAGAAAGGTCTATCTAAAGAGAAAAAACAGAGATAATATATAGAGATATGTATAAAGGTATATATATGCCCAAATATACTGAATGTACACAAAGGAAGTATTCAGAGGCTTTAGCAAAGGGGGCAGATGTTTTGTCCTGGTTGTGGGAGTAGAGCATCCAGATTTTCAGACTTAGAACCAGTGATCCTGTTTTCACATGGAAGTGAGGTACGTGATGGATTCCAGTTTTGATAGTGGGAAAGAAGGGGATGGAAGTTCCTCTTCAGAAGTAATGAGGCATCCACCAAGGCTTTTGATGAACCTGTGCTGTTCCTAGGACCAGGAAGAGAAGAGCTGGGAAGAAATGGGAAAAGAAGATATTCTATCCATGGAAATCTGGGAAAACTGCTACTTATACTGTGTGTCCCCATCCCCAGCAGCATCCTGCTACTGTAGCAAACGAGCAAATAAAAATAAATAAATAAATACATCTTTCTGTTCTCCACTCTTGGAAGTACACTGTATTTTCCCTTCTTCTACAGAAGTGGGAGCAGTGGCAGCTCCAATCTCTGGAAATAAACTGAGAAGCTAAACACGTAGCTGTTTTGCCGGCCCTGGAGGGAAGCCTCAACCCCAGAATCCAAATTCTAGAGTTGAAGACCTGTTGGGCCCAAGATAGTCCCAAGGCAGGAGCCCATCTCTCCATATGGCTGCAGACAGCCTAGAGTAAATGCCGTTTATTCCAGAAGAGTCCCAGTGCTGACATTTGGCAGGGAGAGGGACACTTGAATTTTTATCTTCCTGTACGAAAATGTGGCATGGGGCTACCATCTGCCCTGGGGGATGCTGCAGGTTCATGAGAGGTTTCTGGAATCCCTAGCCTGTGCTTTGTCTCATTACCTGCCCCTGATCTCCTGCAACCCCAGTCAACTAACAAGACCATCAAAGGATCACCCTATGAAGTCAGCAGAGAAAGGAGGCCTGTCATACTTCAGCTATAAGCCAGGAGATTGCCTTCATTAAGGCTGCTATCCTGGCCCTTCACCCATGCTAGCTAGTTTGTTTATAGAATAACACACTACCTGTGTAGTCTATGTAGAGATATGTATAAAGATGTATATATGCCCAAATGTACTGAATGTACACAAAGGAAGTATTCAGAGGCTTTAGCAAAGGGGGTTTCTAGGCCCACTAATGGCAACTGTTCTGAAAGTATTCAGGGATGGTTTTTTCCATTCTTTGCATTAAAAACAAAATAAGCCACACTTACCTAAGGAAAAGAAGTATGTGTGAGTTACTTTTGGTTTATTTGTTTGATCAGAACAAGCTGCTAAAGAAAATGGATGAATGTTTGGTTTCCACTTCAGCTTCTTTTAGAAATCTCAGTTTATACTGTTGTCAAGGCCTGAACCAACTGGCTTGCCTAGGGGAGGTGAAGACTGAACCCAGCTAGGCTGGAAGAACCTAGTCAGACCAGGTCTCTTCTGTTGATTTTCTCTCATGCTTTCTATCATATCGCCCATTCCTTCTACTCCTTTCCCACATCTCCTGGAATTAAACTTTAGGATCTTTTAGCAAATACCTTCTAAATACAGTTTTTAAAGGAGAATATGTAAAAATGCTAAGCCCTAGGAACACAAAAACTGACTAAGCTTAATCCAGGAAAGTCAAGTTGCCCTGGATTATGAAGACTGTTCATTTTGGCCAGTGACTATGAGACCAATTTTCTTTCCGTCTACTTGTTGGCCTGTTTTCTTTGCATTCTTAGGCCTCTATAAGCCAATTCCTTAACCATCATGGATTTCCTTCCCAAATCACAAAGAAATGGATTTATCATCTACCTTTACCTGAGAAATGCCTGGTTGTCAGTCCAGGCTTGAATTCTCTCTGATAAGCGTCAACAGATTTATAGTCACTGACTTATTCCATAGAGATGGAAGGACAGAGGTAAAAGGAAGGGGAAAATACTTCTATAAACATGGATAAATCTACAACATTTGTGAAACCGTATGGATGAGTCATAGGACATAAGAAATGTATAAAATACATAGCTCCTAAAAGTTTTTAGTTCCTACAAATTGTGAGGAATGAGAAATAGAGCAACAAATAGCATATGACAAATATAACCAAGGGAAATAACAAGTAACATACACTAGTGCCAGGTATAGAATTAACAACATGAGCTAAAAAGAGTGAGCTCTCCATGGAAATATTTTACAGGGACAGATAGTAGGCAAGGAATGGTGTCAACCTAAGAGGTCCGATTAGAACATATTTGACACAGGACTCAAGAAAAGTCAGCAAATCTAGAACTGCTATTATGTGGAAGGTATCATTTGACTCACAAGCAAATATGACACATTATATGTCATCAATAAATTGGTAGACATGTAGCTTTCTACCTTCTGTTCCCTCTGAGATTCTCCCCACTAGTCAACCCCCAGCTTTCTTCACTCTAGTGGCCACTGTAGATCAAATAAATTCCTCTGAAAGTTATACCACTTGGCAGCAGCCCTTTTATTACTTGTGAGTTTATTTGGCTGCTGTCTACCTTGCCCACTAGACTTTAAGGATTAGGTACATAGGACTCATGTCAAATATTTGGTCACCAGCACAAATCAGCCTCTGGCACAGTGCCTGCCATGTGTGATGCTCTATATACCTGTCAAGAAGGAAGAAAAAGAGGGAGACAAGAGCTAGCATAAAGTTCACCAGGGCAACACTAAGTGCTGTTGGTGTATCTTGTTAAATAACCACAAAAGATTATGAAGACATATTTCATGAGGCATAACATCATTAGCTGTTAGAAAACAGAACAGATAATGAAAAATTTTGGGGAGGGAGAGACCACTTCTACTTGTTAACACCTAGAAAGAATTTAAAGGAGTTGAGACTTGAGTTCAGCATGAAGAACCAACAAATCAAGGTGAGTGAAGAGAAATAGGATCCTTGGCAGACTGTACCATATGAGCAAAGTATCATAGGAAGCCCCAGCCATATTTAATAGAAAGTTAATAAACCCAGAAGATAGGTTTGTGAGTGAGTAGACTGAAAAAGTGAAATAAAGCCAGACAATGCGGGGGATTGAATTTCAGGCTAGTTTGTTCGTTTGTTTATTTACACAGTTAAGAGCCCCTGGAGAAAGGTAGCAAAGACCCTAGGCAAAGCATTATTTATTAATATTAATCAGGCAATAAAATTGAGATGGGAGACACTGATTCAGTTAAGAGATTTTTAAAAGATCAAAGGAAAAATGATAGCCACAGATATTAGAACAGTATAGGCGTCCAATACATGTTATTAAACTGAGTTGTGCAGATCTGGTCTAAGGTGCAAGACAATGGGCATAGAAAGAAGTGGGAGTATGTTCAAAAGATTACAAAGCAAGACAAGGGCTAGGAGAA